CTTCTGCTTATATTGTTGAATCTTCCTCTCATTTATGACATTTACGTTTAGCACATATAAATTTTAGATCTTTAAAATATATGCGCATAGTTGGTTTAATTGCTTGCAATGATGATTATAATGATAAATGTGAAACATGTATTCAAGCGAAAATGACTAAGAAACCTTTTCCAACTACCGAAAGAAATACAAATTTATTAGACTTAATACATTCTGACATATGTGAATTTAATGGTGTTTTAACAAGAGGAGGAAAAATATATTTTATCACATTTATAGATGATTGTTCTAAGCTTACTTATGTTTATTTATTATCTAATAAAGATGAAGCTTTTGAGTGTTTTAAGCGCTATAAGGTTGAAGTTGAAAACCAAAAGGGAAGGAAAATTAAATGCCTTCGTAGTGATAGAGGTGGTGAATATTTTTCACATGAATTTGATATTTTTTGTGAAGAACATGGTGTTGTACATCAAAGAACTGCACCCTATACACCACAACAAAATGGTTTGGCCGAAAGAAAAAATAGGACACTCACTGAAATGATTAATTCTATGATGATTAATGCTAATACTCCAAAATATTTATGGGGTGAAGCATTGTTTACTGCATGCCATATACACAATAGAATTACATCTATGAAAACACATGTGTCACCATATGAAATTTGGAAAGGAAGAAAACCAAATTTGTCATATTTGAGAGTATGGGGTTGTGTAACTAAATTTGTCATATTTGAGAGTATGGGGTTGTGTAGCTTTTTATAAGGCACTCGATCCTAAGAGATCCAAGTTGGGTCCAAGAGGAATTAAATATTTGTAGGATATGCAGAAAATTCAAATGCATACAGGTTGCTTAATTTAGACTCGAACACAATAGTTGAGTCTAGAGATGTCGAATTTATAGAAAATAAATTCTATAATGACTACTCAGTGTCTGGAAAAGAGAATGATCAAACACGTTTCTCTAATCCGTCTACGAGTCATTCTCAAGGTGAGAAAAGAAAACAGTCTGAAACTGTTAATGAACCAAGGAAAAGCCAAAGGGTAAGAAAAGAAAAGACTCTAAGCTCTGATTTTATTTCATCTCAATCTATTGTATTTAGTCGAAGGAAATAGAACAAAGGTTCTTAAGAAAATACTCATATTGTTGAATGTTGAGGATGATCCTAAAAGTCTAAGCGAAGCATTTACTTCAAGAGATGCAGCCTTTTGGAAATAGGCTATAGATAATGAATTTGAATCATTAATATCTAATCAGACATGAGTTTTAGTAGACTTGCCCCAAGGATCAAAAGCAATAGGTTTTAAGTGGGTATTTAGAAGAAAATACAATACAAACGGGTCTATTCAGACATTTAAAGCCAGGCTAGTTGCCAAAGGTTTTAAGCAAAAAAAAGGGAATAGACTATTTCGATACATATGCACTAGTAGCTAGGCTCACATCAATTAGAATATTGTTTGCATTGACATCTTTATATAATTTGCATGTGCATCAAATGGATGTGAAAGCGGCATTTTTAAATGGTGATTTAGATGAAGAAGTCTATATGGAACAACCAGAAGGGTTTGTTCTCCCTGGGAATGAAAAGAAGGTTTGTAAATTAGTAAAGTCATTATATGGATTGAAGCAAGCACCAAAACAATGGCATGAAAAGTTTGATTTTGTCATTTTATCATATGGATTTAGACATAAAAGTGCTGATAAATGCATATATTCTAAATTCACAAATGATTATGGTGTTGTTATATGTTTATATGTCGACGACTTGCTAATTTTTTGTACAAACATGAAAGGTGTATCTGAAACTAAAGAGTATCTAAATTCAAAATTCAAGATGAAGGACTTGAATGAAGTAGATACTATCTTGGGAATTAAAGTAAAGAAGCATAGTAGGGGTTAAGCTTTGTGTCAGTCACATTATATAGAAAAATTGCTTCTTAAGTTTAAGCATCTACAAATAAAAGAAGCAAATACCCCTTATGACCCTAGTGAGACTTTGCTTAATAATTCGGGTAGGTCCGTTGCACAGCTTGAGTATGCTAGTGTAATCGGAAGTTTAATGTATGCCATGCATTGTACCAGGCCAGATATCGCATTTACAGTAAGCAAACTTTCTGGATACACTAGTCATCCATGTACTGCTCATTGGAAAGCAATAAATAGAATTTTTGGTTATCTTAAAAGAACTATTAACCTGAGTTTAACTTACTCTGAGTTTCCAGCAGTACTTGAAGGATATTCAGATGCAAGTTGGATAACAAGTGCTAATGATAATAAGTCTACATCAGGGTGGATTTTTACAATTGCCGGATGAGCAATTTCTTGGGCTTCGAAGAAGCAAACATGTATAGCACATTCAACTATGGAATCTGAATTTATAGTATTAGCAGCAACATGTAAAGAAGCGGAATGGATTAGAAATTTGTTATTGGAAATAGAGTTGTGGCCACAACCAATGCCATCCATTTCTTTATACTGTGATAGTGAGACTACTTTGTCTAGAGCATACAATAAGGTATACAATGGAAAATCTAGACATATTAGCTTGAGACATGAATATGTCAAGCAATTAATAACTGATGGAGTTATTAATATTGTTTATGTTAAATCAAGTAATAACTTGGCGGATCCGTTAATGAAAGCACTTTCATGAGCTTTGGTAGTTAGTACATTTAGTGGAATGAGGCTAAAACCCTTTACTGAAAATTAGCCACCAATAATGGTAATCCGACTTTGTCTAGAACATCACTAGTTTAAAAGTTTAATGGGTAATAACAAGTTATTGTTAAGTGGTTGTGAAATCACTGAAAATTATTATATAGCTCATTCCAGGATGATCAGTGCAAGACTGCTATGTTTAGGAGGATGAGTTTTATCTCTTAATGAGGTTATTTGTAGTTATGTCTATAGTAGTAGGGACATGGGAAGGAACCTCACCTATATGAACATAAGAAGTGGTGCCGCTTCTGCCAAGAGTTGAGTTTTCTCTTGTAAATGTTTATGAAACCAGGATGAAGCACAAGACCATAATAGTGCTTAATTGGTTTAGAAATTTCTTTAAGGAAATAAGACATAGTCATGTGTGTAGTGATTCCGGTTTTAACATAAGAATAGTTGGTTTAAACTTAGGTCACCATCGCATTCGTTATAACTTTGAATTACTTACACTAATTAAAGGTTTAATTTGAAAGACACTTTTATTGTATGCATGATTATATCGGTATGCTTGTGATAATTATAAAGAGAGAATTATTGTAATATTATTTATTATATATTATTGAAATTGGGAAGGATTGTTAGAGATTTCAATAATAAATATATAAATTATTATATATATATATATATATATTGGTGTAGTGCACCAGCAATATTTGACAGATGATGGGATTGGGTCATTGACCCAACAATCACACCCTTTCCAATTAAACGCGGCACATTTTCTCTGTTTTGGCAAAAAGGTATGATGCATCCGAATGCATTTTTTGCATCAGACATATCCATTAGAAACATTGCTGCAATGTTCAGTTGTATCTCATGGTGAGAGGATACACCCAAAACCAAAGGATATGTCTAAAGGTGCAATTCTCTCTATATATATTGGTAACATTAGTAGAAAAGATTCATTCAGAAATTTGTCGTCTACATAATTTCTTTGCTCTCTTTTCTCTCTTCATCATATTCATACAATTTCTTTCTAGTTATTTCTAAGGAAATATAATTCGGTTTTGCTAATCGAATATTCCATACTTTGTTGTATCCTGGAAGTGATTTGCCAAGAACCCTTTAGCAAACTCATTCGAGTGGGGGCAAATAACACTTTAAGGAAACGATTCAAGTCGTACCTCAAAATCATCATTCTGATTATTCTCTATATTTCTATATTTACTTAACACCCTGATCTCAATATCCGCTTCACTTTGGCGCGATCTGTTTATTCCATTAAATTTGCTGACATGACTGCTCATGTGGCGTTCATGTGGCATTAATAGAAAATGTTATTGGTCAATTCACCCTTTATTTATCTATTGGTAACAAACTTAAAAAGGGAAAAATGTAAAAGCCAAAATTCTCCTCTTTCCCTGCCTTCCCCAGCGTCACCTCCATTTCAGCTTCTTCAAGTAACCGCAGAGCAACTCCAATCAGAAGATGAACTACAGTATCATTGTTGGTAAAATAACGAATGGACATGCGTACCTTTGCAGCAGAGGTCACAGATGACAATAGTATATAAGGTTTGTGAGACAAACAAATTTCTTCAATTTTCAACCGTTGGATCAATGAATTGAAGAAGATCAATGAATTGAAGAAGATCAATGAATAAAAATAACAAGAATGTGAGGTAAAAATAGGAATGTAAATAGCATTACCCTATGAATATATAAGCTTCAGCCCTGTAGAGATTTTTATGAAGAACGAAATGAAAAGCTGCCTCTTCCCATTTAAACGCCCTGCACAGTTTCAATTTATTTTACATTTTCACTCCTTAGAACTGATCGGAACATTGAAGTAGCCAAACATCTTCAAGCCATTGACAAATATGTTGCAGCATGGCAATTTCTCATGGACCGCCGACTCCATAGTTGCTTTCTGAAAGCTTAAAAGAAGCTTTGGCTTCCACACCAGTTCTTGCACTTCCCGATTTCATAAACAATTTGTGATCGAAACTTATGCTTTCGAAGTTGGCATAGCATTTCTTGAAGCCAAGAACGTCATCCAATCGCTTATTTTAGTAAGGCATTGTCAGGGCGTAATCTTGCCTTGTCTACTTACAACAAGGAGATGTACTCCACGTTAACAAAAGTGGCTTGTTAAACTGTCACGATATAATTACAGGGGATTATGGACTTGGTTCACAAACTGGTGCTCCAGATCCCCTTTCTCGCGAGTGCAATATGCTTCCTCGAATGGGAATTTCGTCGACAGTCTTCCCATCTACGTGTTTAAAAAAAAAATAAAGATCACACAAATTTGTTTCTCGCAACTGTATTCAAGAAGAAGACATAAATTTGGACTTTGGACCATTTCTCGATTTATTCGTGTCATCCTTGCTCAGGGGCCATGCTAATCTTCTCTGTATCGTTCAGACGTCCACGAAGGGACAAACTGACTCTATGGTGAGACACTTGTACATAAAGAGTTCATTAATTGCACTCTTGGCCGATGTGGGACTGGCGCTTCCTTCTTTTTATATTTTCCATTCTCTAATTTGACGCAATGTTTTGTGCTCTGGGGGTTCCCTTCCGGATATAAGCCAAATGCAATGACTAAAAGATAGAGAAGTTTTCATTCCAACATATGTAGATTTCTTAATTAGCATTCATTCAGCAAATCCCCATCCTTAAGTACAGGTCTAGTCCCTATATCAAACCAACCCCTTGTCACTTGCAGGAAAATGATAAATACACATCATTTTTAGCTTATCATGCACCTTTGTTTAATCTTGCCCGATGCCTGGTGTTTCCATTTAATTTATTCAGTTTGGTGGTCAGAAATAGAGAGGAGAGTGAGATGGAAACCTCTCTTCATCAATTGTGGGTTTTGGAATGAACCTGCCGTCTACAATAGCTGCCACAGGAATGCAGTTAAAACAGTCGTTGAAGATTTCCCACAGCTCGCTTCTGAAACTTGTTGCGTATCTCTGATTTGTAGCACATTCATCATCTCCCCTAAGAAGAAAAACGTTGTTCGGATACTTAACCTTATAAGCAAGCAATAAACATTTACTCCCCTCCGCAAATTCCATAAAGTCACCCAAGAACACGTAAGCTAAATAATTGGCACTGCCACTAGCTTCCGTGATGGTACACTCCCAGTCTTTAACCTGGGTTGATAATCGTTCACTAAATTTTTCGCCTGAAAAACGAAACGGACAAATTTCTTTTACTAATTAATTAAGGCAAAATATAAACTGTAACAATATGTAGCTAGGTAGGGTTTAGGGTTTTTAGCAAGCTGACGTACCGATAATGCTGATAGGTGATTTAAGATCAAGTATAAAGCATGATTTCTCTGGAACAATGACAAAGCTGCATCACCTCAGACTCAGATACCAGATTTAAGAACGGCCGTGCAGCTGATCGGTTAAAAAACCGTCTGATAATATCGTCCAGTAGAGCAGGATCCATTCCTCCAATCCATGTATGAGGAGTTTCTATGCATTCTAACTGCAGGCACGGACAATATACACATAAAATTCTAACTCCAACCATAAATGCGTACGTGCATAGGTACAGAATATAAGATGTTGGAGGAAATATATACTTCAAAATTAGAGGCCGCAGAGCTCAGCCATGGTAGGTCATGAGGAACTTCAGCTGGCTTCTTATCCAAGCAACCAGCAGCAGCATCTAATAGGGTCTCACTCCTCAAATGTCTAGTTATGATCTCATTCTCTTTGTTCTCATCTGTCGGCTCCAACGTCAAAGTGACGCGTTTCGCATTAATGTATCCTTTCACGCTTGTGCGAATCCCACCACTCATAGCGCTATATGCCAGGCAACTGAAAACAACCGCAAGTAGGAATTGGTCTAATAGAATACGGACATCCTGATAAACTTTCTAGGTCTACCATGGTCCACCATTAATGTAACCGATATTGTTTTAATTTAATCATTTATTATTAAGCATTAAGTTTTATCACAAAAGACATTGGTGATATTAGGAATGGAAACTCCTATAAATTAATTATATATTATCTTGTCATGTGATCGATGTAGAATCCTATTCTCCAACACTTCTCTCCTCCAATGTAGTAGAATGTAGTAGTATCACGAAGTTCTAGGAATAAAGCTCTAGATTGATTGTCTAATTATTCAAAAGCCATAAATACATGCATCCATTCAAATCAATCACATACAAGTATGCTCCCATTCAATTATTTGACAGCATAAACAACAATATTACGAAGTTACTCGCTTCTGAGATCACTATTGAACTTAAGGCACAAACCAAGAAACACCAAAATGGGGAACTTCAAATCAAACATGATAGAAAGAGATTCTCATTTTTTTTTCAAAAAATGGGGATTAGTTGTTGGACCTACTCCACATCGAGCTTAACGATCCGAATTGTCTATTTTGTAAGTCTCGATTTATAGATCATTTTTGCAAAAATTCAATTCAATCCGAAACTATTTGCCTATTTAATTATCACGATGAAATTTCATTATTTCTTACAAAACAAAGTTTTTGTCAATTTATTTTAACTCAATTAGATGTCTTAAATATTTCTGATTTCACTAATATTTTGCAAGGATGATCTATAAAGTGCAACTTGAAAAATAGATAGTTAATTTAATGTGGTGTGAGTCCCACAACTAATCTCAATTTTTTAATAAAAATAAAAATCTCTTCCCATGTAGGATATATATATATATATATATATATATATATATATATATATATATATATATTATGAGATCACAACAAATTAAGGAAACCCAACTTATAAGAAATTAAAGATATATATGCAAGAACAAAATTCTAACTGTACGATCTTATATAATATAACAAAGAACCAGTAACAAAGCTCAAGAATCATGATCTACCTCAAAACCATGAATTAGGGAAAGTTAATTCAATGAAATACGAAATGATGTAAAATCAAAAGAATAACTAGGACAAAACTAACAAAAGCCCAGACACTAAAAATGTAAAAATATGCATGATTTATAAAAGAACGAGATTATATGAACAAGTAAAGGCTACTGAACTGAATGAAAAAGGAAAACTCACAAGCTTTGATCTTTTGTTGGTCAACTCACAAGCTTTGATCAAGAGTAATAAGTGCAGCAAATAATGAGAGAGCAAGAAGAAAGGGAAAGCTATTGGATTTGGATCGAGAGAAAGAGAGACCGTAGACTTGCCGCGTTAACATGTCTCGCCCGTTGACCAATTGACGAATTTTTATCGCGTTTTGTAATTGCACGGTTGTATATTAAGAGAAGAGATATGGATCTCTTCCATCAAGGCAACTAGATCAATTGATCTGAGTTTTTTAAATTTTATCTAACGGTTAAAAATTATTACAGCTTTGAATAGGTCAAAACAGGTAGATCTTTGGATGAAATTTGAAAGGCATGGGTCACTTGATCAAGTGATATTAGTAGAAGAGATCTAGAGAGGATCTTTTCTCGAATATTAAGGACCTAGGGTAAAAAAATATGTGCGATAAAATGGAATCAGGCTATAATAGTACATATCACTTAGTGATATGAGTTGTATCAAAACTATACAAAAATCTTAGATCCCAACATATGTGAAATCTAACGTTGATTTTCCTTATCAAGTTATCACATAGTGGTGCGTACCATAAAATAAAAATTGGTTATAATAAATAATTAGTAATATCAAATGACAGTATGTTGGTGACATTTTAAAATTTGTCACTAAAACATGTACTATGCATTTGGAATTTGGAGGGCTGAAACCAGCAAGCAAAACAATATACTGAGGAATCACCCTAGGCAAGTGGCCCATTATAACAGTGGTGAAAAAATATTGAGTCTTTGCATGAAGGCGTGAGTTCAAATTCCGTCTATGAGTAATCTAATATCTAATCTAACAAAACCTATCATTTAACCAAAAATAAATAAATAAGAGAGATCACCCTACTTCAAGCTATAACTGAACCATGCACTCCTTGCAACCCCCAACTCTAAAAAAAGCCCATATGTATACTCAGCCTAAACCACGAGCAAAATGGAGTCATTTGTTACATAATATGTGTGGAGCCAAAAATATTCACAAGGCGACATGTGGATTTTTGACAAAATAAGACAAAACTACCCTTGTGGCATACCGGGATTCCTACGCGCAAGAAGCGGGCAATTATCCCTCAACCAAGTCAAAAGTGCCCAAAATAGGTATCAACTTAAAACCTAATTTATTCATATATTTCCTATTTCATTATTTAGCTAATCAATTAGCTAAATACTATACTTATTCCATAATTCCTAAAACATTCCTTCTAAAATAATGATAAATAGCTAATTAATGGGTTAATTAGCTAATTATTCCCTTAATTAGCATTTAGACCTTTCACTTTACCCTAACTCCCACAAAAGGGCTGGCTATCCCCATTTCAAAACCTCATCAATCACCTTTTCTACCTTTTTCACCATTTCTTCCTTTTTATTAGCCAATAAATTTCATAACCACAAAAGCATTTCCTTTTATGTTTAATTAGCCAATTAATTGGCTAATTAAACCAAAACAAAACCTAAAACCCTACTAAGTGGCCGGCCATCCTTTCATCTCCTATAAATTGGTTCCCATTTTCACCAAACACTAATTCCAACACTTTGGCAAAAATCCCAAAATTCTCTAAACACTCTTTCTCTCTAAATTCTAACTTTGGCATCAGAGGTTCTTCGGCCAAAGCCCCCCTCATTCATCGTGGGTGCGTGAGGCTCTTGGCCTTAACCTAAGGTTTTAATTGTTTTGTAGGTGCAAAATTGTCCAAGATCAAGGAGGAAGAAATTTGCATCCACAAATTGGTGCTTTCATTGAGAGTTGAAATCCATACTCGTAGAAGACTCTCGCACAAAAAGGTTTTTTTCTTTATTTTCTAGTCCATTTGAATATTTTTCATACGTTCTTATTGTTAGAATTTTTTACTTCCAAAGGTTCTTTGATAAAACGTATAAGCAAAATATAATGGCTAGAAATTTAGAAAATTCCACAAGTGAAAATTCTAATGTTCAAGAAATGGGATTGCGGAGATCCGTGAGGCTAAATGCGATAATAAGTGGAGCAGCACCACCACCACGAGTTTCCACCATGGGAACCACCACGGTGGCTACCTCGGTAGCCACCCGTGGCGAGGTCCATGGTGCCTTCACCACGGCTCGAGCTGTGCCATCCAAGGCTCACAGCACCAAGGCCACGGCCTAAGTCGTGCCATCCAAGTTTGCATGGGCCCGAGCCCAAGCCTCGCATTCGCATGCATCACATACTAAGCAACATGCTCCCGCCAAGCAACCTGCTATCGCGGCCCAGCCTGCTCCTGCCAAGCAGCCTGCTCTCGTAACCCAGCCTGCTCCCGACGAGCAGCCCACTCCCATGGTCCAGCCTGCTTCCGTCGAGCAGCCTACTCCTGTGGCCCAGCCTGCTCCCGTCGAGCAACCCACTCTCACGGCCCAACCTGCTCCTACTGAGCAGCATGCTCTCGTGACCGAGCCTGCTCCCGACGAGCAGCCCATTCCCGTGGCCCAGCCAGCTCTAGTCGAGCAGCCCACTCTCACTACCCAGCCTGCTCTCGTGGCCCAGCCTGCTCCCGTGGCTTTCCAAGCAGCCCAAGTCAGCCCAAGACTATCTCAACCATCCGGACCTACCATCGAGCTGGGGGCATTCACACCACATTTTTTCACGGATTTGACATTTCCCAACTCAAATCTCGCGCTCAGAGTCTACCACCATTCCACTGCCTAAGAAGGCGTATTCCTTCCAAGCTATTCCAATCCAAATGGCGAACAACACTTGTCTCGACAAGTCATAGAATTGACGAGCGCCCTTGTACAACAGACAACCTTGGTGAATCAACTTTTGCAACGCATCAGGATCTAATGTGCCCTGGACGAGGTATCCCGAAGTAGGACAAGGGCAGACAGACCTTTCCAGCAGCGTCCTGGCAAGCAGCCACTCGACCAGCCACGAGCCGAACGTTTGGGCAGTGTACATTCCCGTCTTAGCGCGCGGAGGAGCATGCACTCTCGACTAGGCCCACGGATGAGCATACATTCACGGTTGGGGTCATACTCCGATAGTCAACATGAGCAACCTTCCGGACAAAGTGTCCATTCGCGGCTAAGCCCATAAGGAGCATCCTCCACCTCACATCAGAGTAGGCAGCACGACGGACGGAGAGAAGTAGTCACTCAATCCCGCTCAAGTTCAACCAGCAGCCTGCGAAGAACTCGCTCGCCTGCTAGGAACGCACCACATGCACTGCATCCGCGGCATAGACGAGCCAAACATATAGAAAAGCAGCCTAGACCAACAAGTCATGGCTGGGGGCAGCCGAGAGCTCCGCTACCCCAACAAAGGCAAATTCAGGAAGAAGTAGAGAGACTATTGACCAAGCGATTGCATGATTTCCAACGCAACGAGGTCACCGACGAGGCACTCTGACGGAACATGACCAACATAAGCAGGTCACCTTTCACGGACGAGATCGAGCAGACAGAGCCTCTACGCGAGTTCAGCATGCCACATTTCACATTTTTCAAAGGAGATGAAGACCCGGAAAGACACTTAAAACGTTACCCAAGCGTAATGATCCTTTATTGAAACAACGATGATCTCATGTGCAAGATATTCGCCACCACTCTACAAGGCGAGGCGCAAGATTGGTTCTACACCCTGCCGCCACAATCCATCCCAAATTTCTACGAACTTTCTTAGGTTTTCACAAAAGAATATTCATCCTATCGCTCGATTAAAAAGAAGTCTGACCATTTGTTCGACGTCAAGAAGAACCCAAAGGAGTCGCTTCGCGACTATGTGAGGAGGTTCAAAGTAGAGAAGGCAAAAATAGTCAGATGTAACGACTCGATAGCTAGAGCAGCCTTCCAAAAAGGACTTCTAGCAGACCACCCGTTATTCGGAAAATTGATCATGAAAGAAGATCTAACTCTGGCAGACTCTTTTGCTTTGGCAGAGAAGCATGCACTTTGGGATGAGGCGCGCCAATGCACATTCAAGGACTTGAAGAAGTACCCGACATCATCTCCCTAGAAGCAGCGGAGGACTTATTCGCATGTTTGACGGTATCTAAAGCACCAATAAGCTCTACCATCATGCAAAAAGAGCTGGGGGCCCGACTACCTATATTCTACAGTTACCTGTATTCTATAGTTCAAAAGCTCTCCTCGATGCTATTAAAAATTCAAAAGCTAACTTTGGCGATAATTGTTGTAACCCAAAAGCTTAAGTTTTACCTTCAAACGCAAGCAATCATCATCATAACGCATTATTCCGCCAAATCCAAACCAGCGACGATAAAGGCGTAGACCCTGGCAGATGTAAGTTTTCTGACGAACGCAACAACTCGGCCCAACGACGCCCCGAAGGCAGCCGAGCACACTTTAGCCACACCTGCTCCATCAATGGAGATTTTTGGCGTTTGCATGTCGACGGCGCATCCAATTACGAAGGCTCGTGAGCAGTCGTGGTTCTTGCCACCCCAGACGTTTCAATGCTCAAGCAGGCGATCACTCTAAACTTCAAAGCATCTAACAATGAAGCAGAGTACGAAGCCCCACTAGCAGGTCTTCGAATGACAAAAGACTTGGTGGTAAAAAAGCTTTCCATTCATTTCGAGTCCTAGCTAATCACCAGCCAGACTACTAGGGGCAAAGGCATGATGATCGTGGCAACCAACTACTTCACCAATAAGAAAAGAAAATGGTCAGACAAACTCCAATGATGTCTATGGGCATATTGCACAACCAAAATACGAGCAACCGAAAGGAGATGGCCACAAGCTTAGATCTGGAAGAAGAGAGGCGCGAACAGACTATCACTTGCATCGCAGCCTACCAGCATCAGCTTCTCTCAAGCTACAACAAAAGGGCCAAGATCCGGCAGTTCCAGCCTGGAGATCTGGTCATAAGAAAAACCTTCATCATTGCCAGCAGAAAAGGCTCCAAAAATATGGATCCCATCTGGGAAAGTCCGTACAAGATCAGCAGAGTAGGTGGCAAGATCCGGCAACATCAGCTCCTCTCCAGCTACAACAAAAAGGCCAAGATCCGGCAGTTCTAGCCTGGAGATCTGGTCATAAGAAAAACCTTCATCACTGCCAGCAGAAAAGGCTCAAAAAATATGGATCTTATATGGGAAGTCCGTACAAGATCAGCAGAGTAGGTGGCAAGAACAATTACACCCT